CACACGCGTCGGTGGCTTCTATGAGGCAAGCATGCAGCTCGTGCGACATGTCCAGAGCTAATGCAGGCTGCAGCTGTACTTCGAGCATGCTGACGAATTTGCGCCCTTGCTGAACATCAAAAAGTCCAAAAGGAAGGTTTCAAGAGGTAGCAAGAAGCCCGCCGTGTCTATGGTCAGTAGTCCAAGTCGGCGACCTATCATGAAGCTGACACCGTCAGGCAGGCTTCCCTGCATACCAACTGGACCGGTACCTGAAGATCCTCGTTCAAGACCTCAACAAACATGTCGCTATTAGCGACGAGTATCTCAACGATGCCCCGACAAAGGCAAAGGGAGAATCACAGTACACCAGGCGAGTGTCGCGCATCGTGACACCAGGTACATTGATCGATGAACATTTCATGGACCCATGGGAGAACAACTACCTCCTCAGCATTTACGTCAACCCCGAAGTGCTCACGCAAGACAAAGCTGTGAAGGAGAGTCCTGGCAGTTTAAATGTCTCTTCCGTTCTCAACTTACCGCGTACGGAGGTCGGCCTGGCCTGGATTGATCTGTCAAGCGGCGACTTTCTCACTCAGAGTACTGACATCGCATCCTTGCCGTCCGCGGTAGCCCGTATCAAACCCCGAGAGATTGTACTGGACAGCATCTTCCAAGAGCAGGATCACTCGCGTATCGTTTCGATCATGCAAGAAGACGGACATGTCATCACATTCCAAGAACCCTCAGAAAAGCCACTCACTATCGACGACTGGACACCGATGCTGGAAGACGTCGTGGAAGACTTTGACACGGCGAACTTCACTCCCGGTGAAGTCGCAGCGGGAGGCTCGTTGTTACATTACGTCAAGCATCAACTGCTGGGTTCCCGGACACGACTGCGCGCGCCAGTACGACATCAAGCCGAGGAGTACATGAGTATTGACAAGAACAGTTTGAGAGCGCTAGAGATCCGAAATACAATTCGCGAGGGTACTTATGAAGGAAGCCTGCTGCATGCCCTCAAGAAGACGGTCACCAAAAGCGGGACCAGACTGCTCACGGAACGCTTATGTGAGTACAGCTGACGAACAACTCAGACCCATCGCTGACACATCCAAGCTGCGCCTTCCATGTCGTTGTCAACTATCAACGATCGACTTGATCTTGTAGAGGAGGCCATACAGTACCCGCAGCTCCGTCAGGACATCATGTTGCTCCTGGAGCAAACGTTCGACTCTCTACGATTGGTGACCAAGTTCACGTATGGCCGCGGCGATGCGGACGACCTCATGGAGCTGTCGAAGACCATCCTTATCACCTCCAGTATCGTAGACGTCCTTCATGAGCATGCAACTTCGAGGAACTCCATTCCACTCGATACAGCATCAGCCACATCTGATGTTCGAAGACGACAATGCATTCCCATGTTGGAGCGGCGATTCGATCTAGCACAACCGCTCGAACTTGCGCATCGTATACAGCATGCGATCGATGAAGACGGCCTCTCCGAGTACCACCGCATGGAGAACGAGGAAGCTGAGGAAATGTCCGACTTGGCCCAGGATGTGATCGGTCGAGAGGCTGGAGAAGAGGATCTGAAGAGTTTGCCGAAGCGCGTTCAGCCCAAACTTACCATGATCACTGGGAGCTTCAAGAGTGCGACCGATGGACGTGATGATGTTCATATCATGAAGCGCAATGCTAGTGCGACACTTGAACGCCTCCACAAGAGCTTGGACAAGATGGCAGAAGCAAAGGCCAACCTGGAACAAGAGATGCGTCAGAAGATGGGTACAGAAAGCTTGGTGCTGAAGTGGACCCCAAACCTCGCGCACATTGCTCACGTCAAGGGCAAGGACGCAGCTCGCGCCACTGCCTTTTATCCAAGAAGCTTGAGTAGCAGCAAGTCTACCCGCTCGTTTCAAATCCCGGAGTGGACTTCACTGGGAGCGCAAATGGACGAGACACGATTTCGGATCCGATCAGAAGAACAACGTGTTCTCGGTGAGCTGCGCGAAGGTGTCGTCCAGAACCTTGTGAAGCTTAGACGTAACGCCGCTGTGCTCGATGAGCTTGACGTCGCATGCGCCTATGCTACACTCGCGATGGAGAAAGATCTCATCAGACCCATACTGAGTGCAGAGCCATCGCATAACATTGTCGGTGGTCGGCATCCCGTCGTGGAAGCTGGCCTCAGCGAACAAGGCCGCCGATTCGCCCCCAACGACTGCCAACTCGGCGAGAAAGAGCGCATTTGGCTCATCACCGGTCCGAACATGGCAGGAAAGAGTACCTACCTGCGTCAGAATGCACTGATCACTATCCTAGCGCAGACTGGATCTTTCGTTCCAGCCGAGTATGCCGAGATTGGACTGGTCGACAAGATCTTCAGTCGCGTTGGATCAGCAGACAACTTGTACCAAGATCAATCTACGTTCATGGTCGAGATGCTTGAGACAGCTCAGATCCTCAAAGAAGCTACGCCGCGGTCTTTCGTCATCATGGACGAAGTCGGTCGGGGAACAACACCCGAGGACGGCATCGCTGTAGGGTACGCCTGCCTTCATCACCTCTACCACGTCAATCAATGTCGAACGCTTTTCGCCACACACTTTCACGCGCTTACGGACATGACAAAGGACTTTGAGGGCTTGGGCTGCTACTGCAATGATGTCCTTGAGGAACCAGATGGCAAGTTCTCGTACGTGCATCGACTGAGGGAGGGTGTCAATCGTGAGAGCCATGCACTGAAGGTGGCGAGAGTCGCAGGTAAGTCGTGCGCTTCAGAAATGCAGTTTTGGAGATAGTTGCTAACGAATACAGGTCTTCCTGAAGATGCTGTTGCGATCGCAGCGCGGGTACTTAAAGACCTCAAGGGACGGACGGATGTATTGCCTAATCAGCGCGCTAGTCGAAAAGAGTAGGGGAAGGTGGCTGTACTGTGACGAAGTACCGCGGGCGACAACGGTGTGGGTGAAGATGAATGCAAACCATGAGATTGATCCGGTTTGGTGGGCGTATTGAGGTTGCGCTACTTCAAGGTTTGGACATGTCTTGATCAAGCTACGATGCGTGAGCCTGGATATCTTCGGTGTGCTCTTGAAGAGCGTAGTAAAAGTTCTGAGATACCGTATACTATAACGCCTTTTGATCAGACTTGCAGCGACTGTCGTATGGGCAATCGAGGACCTCTCCACTATGTCATCGAGACATTTCTGCTCGTTGTCAAAGCGCTGTAGACCCTCGGGGGTGATTTCATTGTTAGTACAAAGGAACCTAGTCGAGGGGTCCTCGTTCGCCGCCTGATCTGATGTGCGCTCCTCGTATATTTACACTACTTCCTCACCCTGCTTACTTGCAGTTGAACTTTCAATCTGTGACGACCAACTCTACATTCAACCAAGGGCCGCCATGATGTCGATGCGTCCACAACCGAGGAAGCGATCAGCGAGAAGCAGGGAGATGTTACGGCAAGCTTCACTGATGCGAACTCACATGTAAGCCGCCCTAAAGAATACAATACCTGCAACTAACGCCCGGCAAACAGCTCCGAGCGCAATGCAACCGCCTCGCCCCTCCTCCGCCTGCCCGCGGAACTTCGAAACGCCATCTTCGCCTACGCACTCAGCCACGACACTTTAGTTTCCGCTCTCTCAATGTCAAGTGACCACACGGTCAAATTCCTTCATCGGAATCCAATCAATTTTCCTGTTCGCCTGTCGCCAGATCCATTCCGAAACGGCGCATCTTCCTTACAAGCTGAATTCGTTCGTGATCAATACCTATCACCCTCGCACTATAGCCACATTCCTCAACCGCCGAACGTCAGTTCAAATCAAGCTCATGTTAGATGTGATGGGGACATGGACAAAGCGTAAGCGCCGGCGCAACGAGATCTGCGACATGCGCATGTCTGCGGGTGAATGGTTAGTGCGTCTACGTGCACAAGGGGATACGGCCGCCGAATTTTGGGTATGACTGAAGTTCTGATTTTCGGCGAATCTTGAGGGAAAAAGCGCGATGGTTGGACATGTCTCGCGGATAACTGGACTTTGTTGTTACAGCCACCTTCAGCTAGCTTCACGCTTGGCGCACGGACGCAGTGTAAATACCAACACCTTCAATGCTACCTGCATCCCATCACTCACGTGTTTCCTCTCCAAAGTCCGCATCCACACCATCTACTCGAGATTCAGCCAAGGTTAGAGCATGTCGAGTCCAGAGAAGCACTCCGAGGGCGCCAAGCCTCACGCCAATCCGACTGTCGACGTTCTGACTCTCAACCGCGGTGCCAAGCTTGCGATCGCATCTCATGCAACTACCGTCGAGCACGAGATGTAGGCTAGACGCAGACAAGATGAGGCAACGACGACTAACAAGTGATAACAGCTCTCAACGCGACGCCACGTCTCCTCTTCTTCGCCTCCCCGCTGAGCTTCGCAACCACATCTTCGCCCTTGCTCTCGCTCACGGAGAGATAACGTGGGATCAGGGCGCCTGGCCCAAGAATGTGGTCAACCTTCTTTTCGTCTGTCGGCAAACTTATGCGGAGACTGCTCTTCTTCCGTACTCACTAAACTCTTTTGTCTTCTCAACGATTAGTGTGCAGTCTATCGGCAATTTTCTAAAGCGCCGAACACCTGCCCAAATCGAGCATATACATGACCTGAGTTGCGAATACGTAGGTAGCAGAACATCGTATGGGTACTTGAGGTTCCCGGCGACCAACTGGATGGCTACATTGCAGATCTAGGAGAGCAATAACTTGTAGCTTAAGTAGAGACTCTTGATCAGCTTACCTCGGCTGGACAGTCCTTGGACGACGCCAATGTAACTTCTTTTCGAGCAACCTTCACATCTTAGAAAGAGGCGTGAGCGCACTGGTCGAGTGATGCTACTCAAGCCCATTCACTCGTTATTTCTTGTATCCAGCGCACTGACCCAGAGCGCGCAATCCAGCTTCTTGTTCTCCTACGATTCCTTGCGCTCAAGTGACGGTTTCCAACAACCCCAGCATGTCGACCTCGAAAACACAGCGCACCAAGAATGGGACCGCGAACCGCGCGACTCGAAATCGTGACTACATGTTCGAAGCCTACCACTGTTTAACACTGTCAGCTAACAGATTCCGCCAGTACCGAGCGTAACGCCATCTCATCCCCACTCCTCCGTCTTCCCGCCGAACTGCGCGGCCACATCTTTGCTCTCGCCCTCAACCACGGTTACATCCCGATAACCTTCCCATACCGCTCTCACCGATGGAGGATCAAAGGAAGTGCACGCCGAGGCTTTGAATATCGCTACCACTACAGGCAACTTTGCGACTTCTTCTACAACCCGATTACCTTCTCTGCGCTGTCCTGTTCCTTCAAACTCAAAAAGCGTCCAGTCCGCACCTTCAAGCGTCTCAACCACCTCAAGTGGCCCATCAATCTGCTATTCGTGTGTCGTCAGATTTACGCCGAGACCGCGCTACTTCCCTACAAGGTTAACACCTGGGTGATCGAACTAGACAGGCCCTGGGAGAGGATAAGAGAAGGGTATGAGCGGTACTATTGGCATGATCCAATGCATTTCCTTGAGAAATTGACCGCAACGCAGAGGGGGGTCATGGAGAAAGTATGGTCCGTTGACGAGTTTGGAGGCGAACATACGGTATACATGGGGTCTGCGAAAGTATGGATGGAGCGCTGGTTGCCACGGCCGAGACTGTGCGTCCTTGAGAGTATGGAATGTGAGGACACGAACATATTTCTGTTGCCACGAGGTGGCGGTTGACAAGGTGCAGTGGTCGCGCCTTCTCGCGGGTACAACCGAAGTGGGACTAGCTTCGTAATCACCTTCAGTAGCGCGATGACTAGACCCTTATTCATACTTCTTTTACTCCCATGCTCATTCTCTTCTACAACTCTCAAGATCACGTCTCCTTCAACCAACTTCACGGCCATCAGCAAGGACGTGGAAAACGATATGTCGGCGTTAGATCAGCAGTCAGAGAGCGAGCGCGAGCAAATGTGAGCTGTCTGCGATCTCTAAATTAAATGACTTACACTGACACGTCCTTTCAGCACCCGGAGAAACGCCAAATCACCGCTTCTGAGTCTCCCCGCGGAGCTCCGCAATCAGATCTTCGCACTGGCCCTTACACAGCCCACCATTGAGATCTTCTGGTCCGAACCGCACTTGAAGTTCAAGTTTCATGAGGATTGTCGGCCAGACTACGTGCGACAACCGCTCAACCTTCTCTTCGTGTGTCGACAAACCCATGCTGAGACTGCCACTCTTCCCTACAAGCTTAATACATTTGCTGTCGATTTCGTTTACCAGCGTGATCCTCCGAAGAACTTTCTTTATCAGAGGACAGTGGAGCAGAGGGAAGTGATGGGCAGTGTCAGCGAGCGAAATCCAAAAACTGGAAAAGCTGGAAAGCCTATGTCCGCAACGAGATGGATGGCTTCTATGGAAGCCGAGGCTTTCGTGCTCTATACTTGGAAACGAGGTGAGATGGAGGCTTGACTGCGCCGCGATTCTCCAGTTGTGAGAGCGAGTGGATGCATGCGTCTCATTATCTATTTGTCTATGCAAAAAGGGGTTTAATACAGCCAATTTCAATCCCTGCGAGTGTGTTTTTGAGGTGTAGAGCTACTTGTCCCGTGCACCTACCTTGTGCGATCTGCGCACTGACTACGAAATACATCTCTTCTTTTGCAGTCCACCCCAGTTTCTACACACACTTCCTCGAACCCTCTTCGCAACACCCATCGCCAACTCCGACGTCAACATGAACACAGAAGAGGAGCAAGAAGAAGCGCGCACTCACATGTAGATCTCAAAACAGGGCGAAGCTCTTGGAAGTAGGTGCTAATACATAACTGCAGTACTCAACGCAATGCTACCGCCTCTCCACTTCTTTGTCTCCCCGCAGAGATTAGAAACATGATCTTCGCCTACGCCCTGAGTCACGGCGACACCAAGCTACACATCATTCCCAGTATACAAGACGGACCCGATGGAACAGGCTGCTGGAAGCATCGCAGCTGGCCAGATCCTGTCAACGTCAGTCTGCTCTACGTGTGTCGCCAAATTCACCTCGAGACCGCTTTACTTCCGTACGAGCTCAATATCTTTGTGGTCTACGGTCACTACAACGCTGTCAAAGACTTCTTCGAACGTAGAACAACGGCACAAATCGGCGCTATGGCGAGAGTTGAGAGGGGCCCGCAGGTGAATATGGGCGTGCGAACCGCGAGTGACTGGTTGGACCGACTGCGATATAGAAGCAAGGGTGTCCTATTAAGACACAAGGACATAAACTCGCGACCATAGAGTAATATGGCAGATGGGGGGCAATGCTCATTCAACTCTTTCTCTATGTTGAGGTTACATCGTGTCACACGTGACAGTGGTCAATTTCTTGATCCAGGACTGCTTTTGTCTAGCAATTCTCCTACGTGAGAGCAGCGTAATCCAACAGTGAGACAGCTCTCAATTCCCAACCTCACCTGTTCTTCGGAATCGCCAACTAGCGCGCTGACTAGTCTCAAGCATATCTCTTATGACAAGCCTTTTGCTTTTATACGCGCACCTCCGTACCTAAGTCAGCTGTCTGCTCACACCCCAACCCCGAATCCAGCGCGTTCACTTCCGAGATGCAACCAAAGTACCCCAGCGTGTACTCCTCCAGAATTGAGGTGAACAAGAAGCGCGCAATCAAAGAGCATGCGGAGAACTTGAAAGTCGAGGCCGCGCAACAGGACCAACGGCGGAACCAGATGTAAGTTCTCTCCTAAACTGATCATTTTGATGGATACTAACACACTCCGCTTGCAGCACATATCTCAACACAGCAACATCTCCGCTTCTACACCTTCCAGGGGAGATCCGCAACATGATATTTGCGCTGGCTCTTACCCATCATGACGTCTACATAATCGATGGAGTTCTCACCAACGTTAAACAGCCAACCAACCTGGTCCGAGTCTGCCGTCAAATCCACGCCGAGACCGCGCTCCTCCCATACGCTCTCAACACATTCATCGTCACCAAACCCTCCTTAGGATTTATGCGCGATGCTTTTACCATCACCAGCTCTGGAGGACTGTTTTCATTTCTCGAGGCTCGAACACCGGCTCAGATTGGTGTCATGACCAGTGTACGGAGGTATAGGTCTTCTAAACGTGAGAGGTCTGCGACTGAATGGCTGGAGATTAGGCGGGTGCTCTTAGGGCGCAGCTGAGTCAGATGCTGAAAGCGTCGATATCAGGTTTCGAGCTCGGGAATACCATCATGGATGTCTCTTTGGTCGTCAATGCCGTCGCACAGGAGTGGTTTTTTCCAACTTCTCTCTTACTTGCAGCGAGGTCGTGTAGTAAGCGATAGAATCGGCTCTCGGACTCTCAGCTTTACTTTTACCTGTCCTTCGTGCTAGTAAACTAGCGCGCTGACAAGCATTTATATATACCTCTCTTCCCCGCCCTTCCTTCTCTTTATATACTCCCCCTCCATCTCCGTCAGCTACCTGATACCAAACCCAAGCTCAGCATGTCGCTCCCCGAAGAGCAGCAGGAGGACATCAGCTCCAGCATGAACCCCGTCAAAGCGCAAGCAGAGAAGCTCGAGACCGAAGTGAAGTTGGAGTTCGAAGAGGAGCTCAATCATGAAGGCGAGCTCAAGAGTGAAGAGAAGTTGGCGATTGAAGAAGAGCTCAGGATCAAGGCCGCGGAACGAGAGCGACGACTGAACGAGATGTAAGTTGGCCTCCAATCGAGATGTCTTGCCCAACGCTAACCCAGTTCTCCGAATAGCACCTACCTAAACGCAACAACCTCGCCTCTCCTCCTCCTCCCAGCCGAGATCAGGAATATGATCTATGAGCTTGCTCTTTTTGATTACGAAGGTATCTGGATTTTTAGCGGGTCTGCGCAGACCGACTATAAACATCCGATCAACCTCCTCTGTGTGTGTCGCCAAACCCAAGCCGAGACAGCACTCCTCCCGTACGCACTCAATTTGTTCTGGGTGTTCGACCCAGTCCCTCTCCAATTTCTCAGGCGTCGAACACCGGCTCAGATTGGGGCAATGACGAAGGTGAGGGAATTTTATGTCGCTGGTGGTCAGAAGTCCGCAACTGAGTGGATGAAGACTCCACTTAAAGCATCGTAGGGTTTGTATGAGTTGATGAGAGCATGCATATCAGGTTGCGAACTAAGAGCTCGGGCGAAATGACGACTGTGAAGGCGAAGGTAATGCATCTTATACCCTGGCAATGTCTTTGAAAAGAAGACTTGGTGTTCTTTGGATTTCCATCTCTTCCTAGCGGGTTCCTTTCTATCTGCTCTATAGCAGCGGAGTGGTATAGTGTGAGCCAAAATGACATCTCAGTCACCTTCACCTGCTGTTTGCGGCTAGCGCACGGACCAAGAATGATCAATCTCTCTCTCGTTTGCTCTGATCCTTGTTCCCTTCTACACTCAACTCCCAGTCTCCGTCACCGACATCAAGCAACACCGGGGGCGCCTACGACGTCAGCATGTCCCTGCCCGAAGCGCAACCAGCCATGAAACAACAAGAGGCCTTGAAGCAACGCTCGGATGACGTGTGAGCTATATCAACGATATCCATTCGAGCCATGCTAACAACCCACTTCCAGCACTTACCTCAACGCGACAACCTCACTCCTTCTCATGCTTCCGGCAGAAATCCAAATCGAGATCTTCGACTTCGCAATTTCCCCTAGCACTATTATGCTATATCAAGAATATAATCACCATACGGACATTGCCAAACCTAAGCACCGTCATGCCATACCCCTACTCTTTGTCTGTCGCCAGATCCACTCAGAGGTCGCCATACTACCCTACAAGGTCAACGTCTTCCTTCTTATTGTAGACTGCTATCTAGATCTCGCCGACTTCCTTAATTAGCGAACACAAAGACAACTTGATTTTATAGTCGAAGTGAGGTGCAGATTCCGCGACTTCCGCAGAGTGTACGTAGCATCTGCGTCCAGGTGGGTAGAGTGTCTTGAAAACGAGAAGAGATTCTACCTAGACGAGGTGGAAAGGCGATGGAGCTGAATTAAGGGCGGCGAGGTACAAAATCAATTTGACGCGTGTAGTTAGACTAATCTTGTCGCTATAGCAGGCAGACACAACGGTCTCTTGCTCCTGACTATCAATACACAGTGTGCTTCTCTCACTAATAGCAGTTTCAAGTTCTTTGTAGCAGCCAAATAGTGCAGCAAAATCTCAAAAGACTAGGTCCAGGGCTACTGCGACCTTCACCTACCCTTTGCGACTAGCGCGCAGACTAGTCAATACATCTCTTTCTCATTCCAATGCCCCTTCCCTTCTACAATCACCTCGTAGCCACCACCAGGTAATACATAAAGTCGCCTACTACACCTACCACTATACAAACGCACTTGTACACCACACCCAGGCTCATACATCACACTCGCGGTTCAGTAGCCAATTTTTGAAATCTACGCTAGACTCTTACACACCACACCACCAACTACCCGCACACGAGCGACGGCTCCAAATACTCGTTCCAAAAATGCAGTCAGACAACAAGACAATAGCCGCGCACCAGACCCATCGCGCGAATAAGATGTAAGTCAGCCCTTCTACTTCCAACAGAAACGAGGTCGCTAGATCTAACAAGTCGTGGCAGAACCCTGCGCAATGCAACAACCTCCCCCCTCCTCCGTCTCCCGGCCGAGATCAGAAACAAAATCTTCGCCCTCGCCCTTCGCCACGGAACCATTTCCCTAGACTTCAGCCCCTCGACCAGAGATCACCAGATTCTACAAGACCGTCACAACATCCCCCCCTCCTCAGCCCCCCTACTCTTCGTCTGCCGTCAGATCCACGCCGAGGTCGCCCTACTACCATACCGACTCAACAAGTTTATAGTCGCGGGGAAGTATCTGAGCGCAATGCGTGAGTTTCTGAAGCGTCGGACGCCGGAGCAGCTTGAGCTTATGCGGGATGTGAGATGGAGGTGGCCTACTCAAGGAAGTCCTGTGCGTATGTTTTCGGGACAGGGGTGGCTGAAGTGGTTTGAGGACGCGGATGAGCAGGCTGGAATGGTATTGCGATAACGCAGAGCGAGACGAGCCCCTCATGACTCCCGAAATACATGACTACTACATACGCAAAAGGTACTCCTCATCAATTAAGAGAGATAGCAATCCTCAGAGTCCAACTACTCAAGAAGGTCCCGGGTCTCGGTGAAGGGTGAATCGCGCTCACGCTGTCGAAGAAGATGCGTTGACGTCATGTGAGCTCTCCAGGCAGAGCGCAAACGGAGGAGTCTGTCTGCAATAGGAAATGAACTTGAACGTGAAAGTGAGTGCGGGATTTTTTGCCCACAGGATATCGACGCGTCTACTTCTCACGCGTCTGTTGATCTTGTTCCTCGACGTCGCTATCCCCTTCCGACTACGAGCATACCAAACACCATCATGCATATCCAGCCTGCCCCCGTCCTCTCGCGCACGACGCTCAAGAAGTACACCGGCTGGTATTGCACCAAGAACGGGTACCGCGCCATCGTAACATCCGACGGCGTGTCTCTGCATGTCGGCAGCATCAATCATGTCCGCGGTGACATCGTCGAAACCTGGGACTTACAATGGTCCAACGTACCTTCATTCAGAATTGGTGGTGATTCGGCAGAGGAACGGGCACTCAACGCTGAGTTCCAGGCAACATTCCGTACAGCACCTGGTGGACACAATGTCTCCTTCGACATCAAGGATGGCAAGGTCACGGGCCTGCGTGCAGGCGGAGAACACTTCGAGCGCATCGAGCGGGGCGAATGCCACATCTTCCGAGTACCTGTCGAGCTCAGGCAAATGATCTGGGGCTATGCGCTTGACAACAACGGCGAGAACGTCCTGCTGAGCAGGCAGAAGGGGTCCACCATCACTGATGGTCATTCACGAATGGCGATCAATCGCATTAACGAAGTGCACCCCGACTTCGCGGACGAAGCCACGCATTTCGAGCTTCGATACAACACCCTGGTATGTACGGATGTGGGAAAGTTCGTCAAGCTCATCGACATGGACAAGAAACGTCTCCGGCTTTGCCTCCGACATGTCGTCCTCAGGACACCATGGGGTATGTCTCCGCTCGTCTTCGGGAAGACAAGGGATATTCACAGCATACTGGCGTACGCCAAATCCAATCCGGCGGCGACAATCCAGGTTCGCCTGGACTTTTGGACGTACAAGGGCGTACTTGCCAAAGACATGCTGTCTTTCGTGGGGTATGGGAGGGGTATACGGGAGGCTGTCCGAGGACAGAGGTCCATTATGTGTTGGCCGGGCGATTCTGGTATGCTGGGACATTGGCAAGGTGTGCCGAAGGCACGTGGGTTGGATGCTGGCAACGTCAGGTTCTTCCCATCCGAGGAGGTATTTGACGAGGCTGCGTTCCGTTTCCAGGTCTCCTTGGCCTTGAGGAAGACGGTGACATTCCGTCACGCATTGACCCCTTATCATATGTGGCGGCCAACAGCCATCGAGAAGCTCGTCGAGGACGTAAGGGGCTGGTATGAGAACGGTGCGTGAGGGGCTTGTAGTTGGCAACTGGTCATTTCGTTCTTGTAATAGTACTAATAGTCTCTCTATGTAGTCGTGAAGTTCAGCGACTGGTCACAACTCATCTACGTCTCGAGCTAATGTCGTCGCGAGTCGCCGCTGCAAAGCGAGAGTTGTGTCCAACTGCAGCCTTGACGTTGAGACTGAGGCACCATCTCGGCCCTACTATTGCTCAAATTCTCCATGTGGCTGAGGCGAAGCTGCGCGATGGCGCAAGGCAAAAGAAGGGTCCCCTTCCGGCACCCGGAACTTCGCCAATCTTCGGCGATAAGAGCCCTGCCTGATCGCTCCCGCGCTGATTGGCTCGGCCAAAAGCGGTCATAGCGTACCTTCATCGAAGCTTCCCAAGCAATGCGCAATGGCAAACGCATGCTCTCACGCCATGTACAGACATTGGGATAGTGAATATCGGAGTTCGCAGTGACATTCGATAGAGTGGAGCCTGCTGCGTAGTTTGGGCAGGCAGACGAGCGGATTCAGGCAATCTTGGGCTGGCGAGGCAGCGTGGAAGGGCATGGAATTGTTTGGAATCTTCTCTCGCTCGGCGCAGCCGGTGCATTTGCAACATCCCGGTTACTACTTTTAAGTCGACAAGCGTTCGCCCTCCCACGCACCCCAATATACACTGTGAACACGCACCTTGCCTCCGAGTCAGATACCCGTTTTCTTCTCTCCTCGACCGCGAAGATTCTCCCGCGGCGACTTTAGGTAAGCGCCTTTTTGCTCATTGTGTCAGCACTTCGACGAGTTACCCGCGCCTTCTTTCACCTGCAAGGCTGAGCTGCAACCGGGCGACTACTGCGACTTTTGGCCCCCCAAGACTTGACGCTGACTTGATTTAAGATCTTCCCGACACCGCGACTCGCGCTTTCTACAGATCACCCAGAGACCTTTCTCTATTGCCCCTCAACCCGACTTTTACGACCCCGCTAGCCCCTCGTCTACGTTTCCACACAACAACCACGAACCGCGACCATGGTCAAAGACACAAAGTTCTACGATATCCTGGGGGTAAGCACACCCGTCTCCACAAACAAACCAAGGCCAGACGTCTAACAACCCACAGGTAGCGCCAGACTGCGCCGAGTCACAACTAAAGACGGCGTACAAGAAGGGAGCGCTCAAGTGGCATCCCGATAAGAACGCCCACAACCCCGAGGCGGCCGACAAGTTCAAGGACCTCTCCCACGCATACGAAGTTCTCTCAGACCCTCAGAAGCGCCAAATATACGACCAATATGGCGAGGAAGGACTCGAGCAAGGCGGCATGGGCGGCGGTGGCGGCATGGCAGCCGAGGATCTATTCGCGCAGTTCTTCGGCGGCGGCGGCGGACCCTTCGGCGGCATGTTTGGCGGCGGCATGGGCGGCGGACGCGAACAAGGACCCAAGAAGGCGCGCACAATCTCGCACGTCCACAAGGTGTCACTCGAGGATGTCTACCGCGGCAAGGTCTCCAAGCTCGCCCTACAGAAATCAGTCATCTGCCCCAAGTGCCACGGCGCGGGTGGCAAGGACGGCGCCGTCAAGAAGTGCGCTGGCTGCGACGGCCGCGGCATGAAGCACATGATGCGCCAAATGGGCCCCATGATCCAGCGCTTCCAAACCGTGTGCCCCGACTGCCAGGGCGAAGGCGAAATCATCCGCGACAAGGACCGCTGCAAGCAGTGCAACGGCAAGAAGACGATAATCGAGCGCAAGGTCCTGCACGTCCACGTCGACCGCGGCGTCAAGTCCGGCCACAAGATCGAGTTCCGAGGCGAGGGCGACCAACTCCCCGGCGTAGAACCCGGTGACGTTGTTTTCGAAATCGAGCAGAAACCACACGCGCGCTTCCAACGCAAAGACGACGACCTCTTCTACCACGCCGAAATCGATCTCCTGACCGCGCTGGCCGGCGGCCAGATCCACATCGAGCACCTCGACGAGCGCTGGTTAACCGTCGACATCATCCCCGGCGAGTGCATCTCCCCCGGCGAAGTCAAGGTCATCCGCGGCCAAGGCATGCCGTCGTACCGCCACCACGACTTTGGCAACTTGTACATCCAGTTCGACGTCAAGTTCCCGGAGCGCCTCGGTAACAACGAGGACGGCGGGCCCATGTCCCCCGAACAGATCCGCGCGTTGGAGTCTGTGCTGCCGCCCCGCAAGGTACCGGAGTCTATGCCGCCGGCTGATGCTATGACTGAGGACTTTACGCTCGAGGATGTTGATGCGGGTGGTGAGGGCCAGCGCGCGAGGGGTATGGGTGGTATGGAGGATGATGAGGATGATATGCATCCGGGCGCTGAGCGCGTGCAGTGTGCGTCTCAGTA